TGCACTGTGTGAGGACAGCACTGGTGCCAGTGGTGGCAGGGTATTGCCAGCCACGGTCTATGTACAAATCACAAACAGGATGGGATTGCTAGGAACGTGCCTTGAGCTGTTTCATTTTCCAGCATCATTCTCATTACATGGTTATGACAATGGGAAGATGCCATCAGCTCACATCCCAGGCAGCAAAGAACTCAATGTTACAACTTACCTTTTAAGTTTTTTGACCAAACACACAAAGCAAAAGCATATTGACTGTAGTTCCATCCGACCACTATAAGCACAGGTACCTTTGGTTAAACAATGCTTGCTTAGTTCAAATACAGTACCTGCTTGTAAGCCTTAAAGCACAATGCACAGAGCTCCATTATTAAGCTTGGAACTTCCTAATATCTCCCTAGATAGACTTTTCTGCAGTTTAGGGAGTTATTCTAGCCAAGCGTTAATACACAGACCATTGTCCCATTTGTCCTTACTTTTCTATTTCTTACATAATTTTTCTGCTGACCAATCTCATGGCTACTGCTCAGCTCTAACCACAGTTCTGCTGCCTCTGAGGCCTGCCTCTTGCAGCTTTCCCAAAACCCTCCGACTGTACAGCCTCCCGCAATTCCCCCTCTCAGGGAATCCCCGCAGCGGGGCAGTGTCCCTTGTGCCAGCGCTGTCTGCTTTCCAGGAGGAGCAGGCGAACGTCAATCTCTCGCGGTGCCGCAAGGCGCAGCACGAGCTGGAGGAGGCGAAGGAGCGGGCTGACATTGCTGAAGGGCAGGTGAACAAGCTGCGAGCCAAAAGCCGCGACATGGAAGGCCAGGTGAGTTGGAGGCTGCAGGCAGGGACGTTCCCGTGCAGGTGGTGGCACAAAGGTCGCTGCCCAAACGGCCACAGCTGCATTCCTCCCACTCTTTCACTGGAGGGTCCTCACAAAGAAAGGCCAGGAATTGTCACTGTCTTGGTTTGGAAAGATGGGTGTCTGCTAAGGAAGGCAGGAGCCTCCCCTGAAATGGAAAATGTAAACCTCCTCCCTCCAACTCGCTATAAATTTTAAATTCAGGGGCTCTCAGGCAAAAAATATGGGAGCAGGAATAACAGTTCTTTATTAGGGAAGAAAACAAAAAGATAAAAAAGCAATGCAGCAAACCAAGACAACACTGACAGAGTCAGAACACGACCTGACACCCTGTTAGTCAGGGTGTTGGCAGCAGTCCAGTTGGAATTGTGGCTGCAGCCCTCCTGCAGTGTCAGGGGTGGTTCTGCTGGAGCAGGGATCCTGTAGAAGGGTGGAGTCTTCCTCTGAAAATCCAGTGGAAGAGGCAGCTGCTGTTCCTCTGGGAAATCCAGTGGAGAAACTGTGCTGGTGTTCCAGAAACTCCAGATTCTGTCCAGGTAGGAATGCTTGGCTCCTCCCTCTGGGTGGAGCATCCTCCCAATGGGATGCTGTAGTTCTTACCAGCCATGCAGGGACATTCCATAGCCTGTTATCAGCAGATTTCACCTCAGAGGGAGGAGTGGGTGTGGAAGAGATAAGGAAAACTGCCCACTTAACAGAAGAAAACTGCCATACAGATGGCAAATAGAATACATCTTGCCTTGCAATCTGGGACAGTCACTTACTCAAAACCACTCCATTTTGCAAGTTCTTTTGGAATAGACCAGATCCAATCCACTCTAAGAATCCAAGTCTTTCAGCACAATTGGGAGATATTACTTCTTCATTATAAAATGGCAGAACAACTGCAACAGTCACAGACTTGAAACAAGACTACAAATAACTCAGTTGCTCCAATACCCTCTACATTATCTTCCTTTTTCTGTACTTAGAAATCAGAGAAATGAGGTTCCTGACCTGAGCTGCAGCAGGCTCCCTCCTGATAAAGACTTCTGTGTATCCAGCAGATATCCATTACTTCTTTCAAGTAACCTGGTGTGCTTGTGTGTAACTGATATATTTAGCCAACCTTAAGGTGAAGCTCTGAGAAATCTTATATATAGATATACTTTTATTTAAATATATATATATATATATATATATATATATATATATATATAATAAATAAACCTGGGTAATGCTTTAGTGACTATATCGACTGTTGATTCACTATGAGATTGACAAGTGTCTGTGTGTCCCTGTGTCTGTCTGTCCATGTCTGTCTGTCCTTGTCTGTCCATGTCTCTGCATCCATGCCTGTATCTGGGTCTGTCTGTTTCTATCTGTGTGTCTGTGCCTGTCTCACAGTCTCTGTCTATGTCTGTCTGTCCGTGTTTGTCTCAGACTCTCTGTCTGTGTGCATCCATGTCCTGCTGTCCACGTGTCCGTCTCTCCATGTGTCCGTGTCCATATGTTCATGTCCATCTGTCAGTGTCCATGTGTCCGTGTCCATCTGTCAGTGTCCATGTGCCCATGTCCTGCTGTCCATGTCTGTGTGCCCGTGTCCGTGTGTACATAAGTCTGTGTCCTGCTGTCCTGTGTCCGTGTGTCCCTCTGATGTGTGTCCCTCTGTCTATGTGTCCATGTCCTTCTGTCCATGTGTCCCTCTATGTCCGTGTGTCCATCTGTCCGTGTGTCCGTCTGTCCGTGCCCCGCTGTCTGTGTGCCCATGTCCCGCTGTCCGTGTGTCCGTGTCCCGCTGTCCGTGTGTCCGTGTGTCCGTGTCCCGCTGTCCGTGAGTCCGTGTCCCGCTGTCCGTCTGTCCGTGTCCCGCTCTGCGCTCCGTGCCCTCGGGCTGGCGGGAGCGCTGCCAGGCGCAGCTGCGCCAGTGCGACGCGAGGGGGCGCTGTGGAACCGCCGGCCCGCGGGGGGTGCGGGGGATCGGGGGGTATGGG